AAGTAATAGCATGGTTTTTGGTTTCTAGTCAATTTTTTTATACCAGTCAGCTTGATTCTGGTTTTTATCAGTTTGCAACAGACTATTAAAAGTAGGTTTGAAATTTTCTTGACGATTCTAATTCTGTTTTTATATTTTTGCAACAGCAAAAGAGTGAACTTGAACTGATCATAATATTAGCTTCTTTTTTCATCTTCTTGATTAAATAAAGTACCTGCCTTGAAAGACCTCATTTCTCAAGGCATTTTTGAGAATCTCTGGTGTTACTAGTAGTTCACTGTATATTGCTTAATTTTGCACTGCTACATTCTTTTTATTAGGTATTGATTTTATCTCAAATTGTTGTTAACTATAAGCTTTATTTAGAAACATTTTCTTTTGATTTGTTCTAATGCTCTATGAGAGGAGCTTTTTCTTCTTCCTCAGAAATTAGATTTCTTTGTGGTTTGCTTTTAATTGTTTTTTCCCCACAAATTTGGAGAGAGACTGAGCAAAGAAAGGCAGAAGAAATTATGTTGGCTATGGAGACTGTAATATTGTATGTCACCTTCAGAACTTAACACATTGCCTCAAAAACACATTGCTTCCAACAGCATTTGAACATTTTAACAATGACTATGCAGGTTGATTGTTGTTTTGTATAAATAAATAATACACTCCTTCCTTATAATTTATCTTTCTAGAAAATGAATAGTCAGGGTCAGTTAGAGAAAATAAGGAAATTCTTTCCAAACCAATTTTCTTTCAATGAAAAAAAGGTGCATTCCATAAAGACACTTTATGCATATAAAGCTACAGTGCCTATGTCTCTTATTGGATGCCACAAGGGTGAATTCATTATTATTTAACATTCATCCAGGATTAAATGAGAAGATAACAGTCAAGGTATGTAAACCAAAATCAAGCCATGGTCTCAGATCTTAATCTTTGATTCCATTCTGGATTATACCTTGAAGTACAATATATCTCAGCATTATATTGAAAACCGCTCAACAAACGATGTAAATTGGTATTTAATTTCTATAGTTAGTATATAGAAGTCTTGTCAAATTTCCCTGACTTAAGTATAGTTGAACAGGACCATTTTTGGATTTGCATTACCGTATTTTTCCGGTGTATAAAACACCGGAATACAAGACTTCTTATTTGTCTCTTCAAGATTTTGAAGTGACAATTTTTTAAAAAAAGTTTTTGCACTCTGTAGACCTCCCCAAAACAGCCTGTTTTCCAGAAACTGGCCCATTTCCCCCCCCCAAAAAAAACCTCCGGCATGAATAGCCTTTAGGAGCCTTATAGAGTGCTTCGGGGGGGGGCAAAATTGAGCAAAAAATGGCCCATTTGTCACTCATTTCTGCCCTCCCTAGCCCCCAGGAGCACTCTGCAAGCCTCCTAAAGGCTCTGCACGGCCATTTTGGTGAAGGGGTAAGTTTTCAGGAGGCAAAAAATGCTGTATTCAGTGTAGGAGACGCACCCAGATTTTCAGGCTCTTTTTTGAAAAAGGGAAAGGTGTGTCTTATATTCTGAAAAATATGATAACCTTCCTTTCATGATAGAAAATAATTGTTTTGTTTTTAACAGCAGAGTATTATTATTAAGACTATTATTTTAACAATTTTTGGACATTCTGTTCTTTTAAAATGTGGATACAATAAACAAGATGGCAAACATATCAATTGTCCTTTGTCCTTCAGATTTCCCACAAAAACAATGTGAGTTAAGTTGAGTTGAGAGATAGATTGGCTCAAACTAACCCAGCCAGTTTTACATCCCTAAGGCGGGACTGGACTTACCATTTCTTGGTTTCTAGGCCAACATCTTATCCATTTATCCAAACTGGCTCTTGTTCTTTATTCTTTTGATCCTAATAACTGGATACTTAATCAGATATACAGATACATATTTGGACTCAAAAGTCTGTTACTGAACTATGCAGTAATTAAGCAAGACATCATGTTGTCAGAAGCACCTGTGAAGAACAAAAATGGCAATTGCATTGCTGAGGTGGTCATAAATGTCTGAAAGTTGAGAAATGCCTGAATCCTGATCATGTGACTGAAGGGTCAATATGATGGTCATAAGTATGAGGACTGATCATAAGTTACCTTTTCAGTTCTAGAAAAACTTCAAACGCTTGCTAAACAGGATGATCGTTAAGTCTGTATATGTCTTTGCTTTTGCTGAAATATTCTCAGATCTCATTGAAACTTTTCTATACCATCCTTGTCCTCCCTCCCTCCCCCCTCTCTCCCTCCCTACCCACCTGTGTCTCTGTCTCTATCTATCCATCCATCCATCCATCCATCCATCCATCCATCCGTCGCTGAGAGACAATCTCTAATGAAGACTGCAGAAAAGATATGGGCCAACCATATTCCTTTTTCAACTTCCATTGCTGTCCAGAGAGAACAGCATCTTGGTTTATATTTTCACATTTTTTCTCTCTATACACACACAGACACAAAATACACAAACACACACTCACATATAGTCACACTGCAGCTTGTGGTAGTGGGAAAGTTTACGTTTTTCCTCCAATTTGATGAGAACTCCTCACATATCACTTGAGATTGGTCAGGTCAGGAATTGGACACCACAAGAATCACTGGAACTCAGTTTTATTGTTAAAAGGTATAGAAAGATTCCCTCTTCTTCTCTACCTAAGAGAATCAAGGGTGCGGCAAACTTCAAACTTTCTCTATCTCTCCTCCTTTCTGGAACTAAGTTAGTGTTTAGATAACAGCTGTTGAATTCATTCTTCAAAGTCACCTCTGTACCACACATACTGAGAACGCCATTCACATTCCCAGCATTGCTCAGCTGGGAAATGAGAAATGCTAGTGGCTGGAATGATATAATTGACATGATGGATATGAGAGGGATAATGTTCGCGAAGCATCTGTGTACATCTTTTCAGTAATATAATACTTCTGCATTTACCATCTTGTGTTTTAATTTTGTAACCTCAAACCACAACTTCAACCCTGCCAAGAAAATTACATGAATGTTGTCACCAGAAGTCAAGCTTATCTCAAGGGCATGCATACAAACAAAAGCTTTCGCCAAAAGTGTTTTAAAGTTTTGCTAATTTTTACTCTTTGAAAGCAAGTTGAAGGAAATAGATAAGAGCATTATTTTTGCATTTATAAATTTGATGTTTTTAAACAAATCTTATTTTTTACTTTTGATTTTTTTTCATTATTATTATTTTTTGTCTGTGATTATACAAATAACTTGGGCAAATAACATGACCTGATTTTGCCTGGGTTTGAAAGCTAAGCAAGGTCAGGCCTGGTTAGCATTCAGATGTGGAATGCCATATATGTAGGCAAATTGGGAAGTAAACAAAAAAGCATTCTAGAAGGCAGTGGAAAAACCACTTCCATACTGTTGCCAACAACATATTTTAGCCAGTTATTTTCATAATACCGCAGATGTTCTCATAGAATAGCATTTTTGTTGATTAAACATTATGCCCTCTATGGTTCTGGACGACAGAAAAAAATACAACTCATTCTAAGCCTACCTGTGCTGTTGTTCAGATGAGTAAAATTTCAGTTTGTTTGTCATGTTTTGCTTCATTGTCATCTATAATCTTGGCACTTAGCTCTAATTCCATGTTAGTTACTCAGTTGGATCAGCCTGATGAGGAAAAGATAGGCTTTTTCCTAGCACAGCTCTCTTTTCTTTTGGAATAATCAGGAAGATTGTTAAATTCTATTCAGTAGCAATTGTTGTAAGGGGACTCAAGTTGTGGGATAAGGAGATTTTGCAGATATATTGGAATATATATATATATACATAGAATTTTAGAGCATTGTGACTATTATTCATCCATAGTTTTCTGTATACAAAAAATAAATCTTCCGTTGTGTTCAGAACTTAGCTTGAAAATGCCCCTTCTAGAAATGTATCTGGACCTGATGTAGCTCATTCTGGCTGGAGCTTAATTGCACAGGCATTTTAAAGTTTGATTTTTATTTACTTTCATTCTTCATACACATGCACACAAATACTCCATGTATACAGTATATATTTCTTATTTCTTGTATAGTTTTAGGATGAAGGATGATATTGTAGGAAGTTAGCACCCACCCCTCTCCTAGAATTATTAAATATTCTAGAAAATATTAAAAAGGCAGAATATTAGTTTCATTACCCCTGCATGGCCCCAGGGGAGTCTGGCATCCAATCAGGATACCTCTCCTTACACAGGAACAGGAAGCTCCAAGGTGGGGCCCAAGAGAGGGTATAAATCTCACTCTCTCTCTCTCTCTCTCTCTCTCTCTCTCTCTCTCTCTCTCTCTCTCTCCCTCTCTC